GCCTGAAAGGAGACGCTACCGGTAGACTGCAGCGAGAACTGCCAGCGAGTCGCCAGCCAGACTCTGTCTGTCTCTCTCATGGTCACCTAAATGCACAGTAATGGCAGGTCTTTGTAATAAGGCAGATCGCGCTAACATAATATGCACTGTTAGTTGATTATTTACCTGCCGCATTAACGGGAGAGGACGTGCAAACGTTAGCGCTGCTGCTGGGTTGAGATTCACGAGTCCGGAGCGGAATTAAAAACACGACATTCATTTAAGGTCATCGCGTGTTTTGTGAGCTTTTGCATATTCGTAGTGTTTCCTCCCTTAAATGAAATATCTACTTTGCAAATATTGCAAGTTGCCCTGTTGTCGTCCGTTCTCGTAAAGTATAACCAAACTTTTTAGCGTTTGAGCCACTTAGGCGCCGTGTTTCCTGTCAGGTAAATGACGCTCCGCAACGTGGTGACGTCATTCAGGGCGACTGGAATCAATAACGGAATCGTTTGCAAAAATGCCAAACAATTCCAAGGAAGTGAAACAGTGGGAACCGGTTCTCAACAAGAACCGGTTTTCGATACCCATCCCTAATCACGATTGAGTATTGACCCTGGGCATGACAGTTTAATTGTTTTATAATGTGTAGTGGAGTTGATAACATTTCAACAGAAAGACTAACGTGTCCTTATTCAACATATCTGTATTTTTTCCTTCTTTTAGGTTATTTCCACACAGCATGCATAACTGAGAAAGAAAGCTGTGATTCAGAGCGTACTTTATCACGTGCCTCGGACTTATCAGTGCAGGAATTCATACCTCGCTAACATTTAATCTGACACAGAATCAAAAATAATCTGGGATCAGACAAAAATATAAACTCTATTATCATAAAAATGAATGTTTATCTGATCCTTAACTAGTTTGTGTCACAACAACTACTTGTTGGCCTAACCCTAACTACTAACCTTTAATGTATTTGATCGTATTTTGGCTTTTGAAAGTCAGGGACAAAAAGTGTGCACCATAAGTTATCCTGATATTTTGAAAGGAAAAACAAAACCAAATTCACTTCTAAATAAAGCAAAGCTTTTGTATGTGTCATTTTAAAAGATTTTGAGGGGCTGAACTGTCAGAGGTGCAGATCAACTTGTCTTGATGGTGTCTTTGTGGATGTCAGATCAGAAAAACCCTTGCATCTGCTGTTCTAGGCACCTCTAAGAAGCTTTTTCTGTTCAAATCTTTGTCACAATTTCTGTAAAGTTAACACATCTGCACCTTCAGTACTTTCCCCCCCAATTTCTAAACCTGCTGTTACACTTTAAATGGTGAAATGAAGTATGATGATCTCTAGCTAGCCTTCCATACAAGGGACAAAAAGGTTCGTCCTCAGAAAGGTGATAGATGTGTCCCAGCCAATTTCAGTTCCACAATATGCATCACAAATTCTTCACGCTGGTTACTGATATGTCTTCATTTCTTTGCCGTGCACATGCACCTCCACCCTTCACTGGCGAATGCAGACATCCTTTTTCCCTAGTCATCATTTATTGTTACCCTCTCACCTTTTCATAAAATAGGTGCACTTTTTCTCTCCAAAGCACACAGGCAACCTCATATGCACACACACCGACACACAGTTCTTCTCTTTCCCTCCATGTCTTTGCCTCTACGGTGTCTGCAGTTGCAGGATATGCGTCTCAGTCCACAGCACTATTCAGATACCTTCTGAATGTGCTTGCAAACACCGTGGGAGCAGTCACAGTGATGTATTGCCGTAATCCCACTGATGCAACATGACATGGCTGTCAGTTGCCATGGGATTCTGGGTGATTTATATTCAGCAGATCTGTTTATGGTCTGATATTAGTGATGTTAAAGGCCTGATCTGGCACTCTTATCTTTAACTAAGGGTGTCCTGGACAGGCAGACGCTTTATTCACAACGAGGGCTAAAGAATTTTTGCGTAATCAAACTATTTCATTTTCACGATCCCCAACAGAGAAGAGACAAAGATTATATATTCACTTAACATCTCGTTCCCTTAGATTATGTGTGCTCCATCACAAACTGTATGTAATTTATAATTGATCAGTAAAAAAAAAAAAGCTCGATTCATTCTTTAATTTTGGTTCTCTTGCATCTAGGTCTTTCCCACTGTGGTACTCGATAAATGCTTCTACGTTGTCATGTGTGCCATTGCAGGCTCATTTCCATGTCTATGTGCTGTGCTTTATCTGCCACCAACTATTTCTTGCCCTGGATAAGCCAGCAGATCGGCAGTCAGGGAGCGAAGAGCATGCACAGCATTTGATAAACTGTGCGGTGGATCAAAATGAAAAATACAAATAAAACAAAAGAAAAACAAACGTTTGCACATGGGTGACTTTTTCGGGCAGACGGTGTGGGCGTCATTGATGTCAGCAGGGAAAGCTAAATGAGACTATCAGTATATGTAATATACTGACCTGTAAATGAATGCTGTGTGAAAAAAATAGCAGCATGAAAAATATCAACTGATGGCACTCCGACACATAGCTACACCGAGGTGCTCGAGCACTCTGAGGTATCTGACAAAATGCACACAGATCTGCATAAATGAAAAACCTTCAAATTGGGTATTGATTTATTCGGATTCATTTATTAGCCAACAAGCTGGAGTCCTTATTTGTGTATATGAAATAATAACACAGTTTGACAGGCATAAAATAGCATTTCCGCATCAGCAAGTTGATTCTCAAGGAGAAACTGACGACTGGGATATACAAGCATGATGTGCAGTGTGACATTTTTAGGGAACTGGAAAAGTGAAGGACAAGAGAAGACGTGGCCGACCTAAACTTATCTACAGCAAATGTAAAGTATCTGAAAGTCATGTCCTTAAACATAAAAAATAAAACATTAGTGGGAAAAAAAAATCGAGCAAAGACCTGACTGGAGAGAACCATATGACCATTCACTGATCGATCTACAGTTTGCCATAGTCTTATTAGAAATGGTTTCAGTGAAAGGGTGGCTGTCAAGAAGCCAGTCATTCAAGCAAGGGAAACAAGAAGGAAATGCTGCGGTATACCAAATTACACGAGAACTGGACTGAAAAGGTCTTATGCAGAGATATATCAGAATTAGACATTTTTGAAATCACTATCGGTTTATATGAAGGAGGTCAGGAGGTACGACAGTGTCTACAGCCATCTGTAAAATGCTGTCTCCGCTCTGTTGTGGCTCGTCGTGGCTCGTCGTGGTTATATACACAGAAAAGGTCAGATTTTGATCCACTGTGCAGAACCTTTTATTAAGCATCTGGTTGGCAGCAGCTCCATTCTTTTGAACATGACAATGATCCCAAAGCAAGGTCATAACTGGGTAGAGCTAAATGCACAATGGAACACCGTCAATGATGGACTGGCCCCCCCAGAGCCATCCATCCTCATCTGGACAGAGGACGGAACAAAAAGCAGCCAACATCCAAAGAAGCGTTTTGAACAGCCTTCAAGAAGCCTGAAGAAGAAGAGGAACACATATTTACGAGAGTTTATACTATGCTGAAGAACAAAGGTGGCCATACCAAATATTGTCTTGCAAGCTGGTTAGAATTGTACAAAACTGTATTTGCATGTATATTTGCAGCTTTCATTAAATTGCTACAACTATTTCCTGTTTTCCTAGCAGCATATAAAGAAATTAACACATTACCAAACTCAATCAATCCTGTGTTTATTTGTTAGCACAGAAGAAAACTTTGAATGTCTGGCATATTAATTCTTAGAAGCAATATTCTGTTGCTGTACAAAATGACTTTAAAAACTCTGCAGACTGAAGTGACCAGAAATAACACGACACTTCAGGTTTTTTTACCTTTTGTTTAGGTTTTCTTTTGCTTTTTTACATGATTTTAATGCGAAGGACAAGTTGATCTGATTTGCAAATAAACTAATAAGCCTTAAAGTTGAAAAAACACTGGAAACTTGTATGGTTAGTGAAAAACATGTAGCAACATAAATAGTTAACTAATTAGGAAACTTCATCCACCCTTTTAAAAATCACACTGAGTATACTATTTTCTCTGTTATGCCATGAGACCTTATCTCTTTTTCAAATGGTAATACTTTTGTCTTAATAGATTTTATTAATAAATCAACTAAAATGAAAGATAAGTTGTAATCTCATTAATTTTCGGGGGGTTGACTTGAACAGAAATTATTGTTGTGTCTGAGCATAAGAGAAGTTATTTGAATCACTCCTAGTTAGGCATAAACCACAGCCTATCATTGTCATACAGAGGACACGGGTCATAAAAGAGAATACACTGAATTATGGGTAATTGCCCTTTTTGTACGAGGCTAATTAGGAGTTATTACAGACTTTTAGTGTTTAGTGCAAATTCAAAGTGAATCAACAGTTGAGATAAAAAAGGAATTTGCGATGAAGCTATTTAGTCTTATGAGTAAATATTCAATCTGCTATGATTGTTTTATGATAAACAGCAGGCAGGTTTCAAGAAATAAAAATTCTCATATAATGTGAACACTGTGTGACCCTGCATGAACTTACATTATAAAGAGCTTCAGAAACTCACAATATTTGTTTGATATTTGGCCCCAAGATGTAAAAGTTTGCTGTGTGACTGATACTAACATAGTCTTACTTTAGAATTAATGCGTTTTATACTTAAAGGAGTTCAGTATATTACCATATTTCTGAATAAATGCTAATGTTGCCATTTCCTTTTTTTTCTAAGTAGCAGGTAGCTGCAGATGCAGGTTGTTTCTCTTGATCTTAAACTGGAGCCTGTTCTCCCGTCATCTAAGATATTATTCATATTTATTGCATTTCCTTCCGGATTTCTCAGGTAAAGTAAACAAGAATGAAATATAGGGCCACCCTTTGATGTTGCACTGAAGACTGCAATCTCCTCTGCTTTGTGGGAGTAAATAACACAAAAATATTATAGTTTTCTTTGCTTTATTTATTTTGTTTTACAGGAAGTGTGTTTTTTTATGTGTGTATAATTGCAGGTATGGTGAACTACAGCGAGGTGTCTGGTTATCCGCTCGTTCAGCACTGGAATCTTCGCTCTGTGCTCTATCACGTCAAACTCAATCAATGGGTCCTCTCTCAAGGTAAATCACACCGAGCTTATATTACTGATTCTTTATTTATATTGTTAGTAACCTTGCTTCGGTCTCCACTGAGAGGAGCAGGATCGTAATCTATCAGTTACTTAATTTTTAACCAGAAATGTGATTAGCTGGCAGACTGCCATCTTTTTTACTGTCATTTTTAGATGCATTTAAAGCTGAACTTCATGTTGCACAACCTGGGTCTTGAATTCCAAATGCAAATTAAGCCATTTATGTAAACACTGCTTTTGTGCTTTAAGGCAATCATTAACAATATTAAAAAGACACTTTTTTGTTTAACATTTTTTTAAACTTTTATATATTTTTACTAGGGGTGCAACGATACACAAAATTCACGGTTCGGTTCGATACTTTGGTGTCACGGTTCGATATTTTTTCGATACAAAAAAAATGTTCATGCCTTTTTAATTTGTCATTTATTAAAATTATAAATATATATTTTTACTCAAAAGTACAGTTTTTAAATTTAATGTTGCTGAAACAACAAAATAATAATAAAAAATAAAAAAAATCTCTGTCAGGTGTCGCTGTGTGCAGGCAGGAATAGGACCCAAAGTGCAGACTCACGGCACGCAAAAGTGTATTTCAAAACTCAGCTTTTATTGCTAGATGGCAAAACGTAACAAAAATCCAAATAAACTTACATGCGCAGGCAGACAGAACACACAGCATAAACGAGGGTAGATCACAACACAGACAAAGAGAAACACAGGGCTTAAATACACAGAGGGAGCAATCAGGGAATGGTTAACAGGAGGGAAACACAGCTGAGGCAAATCAGGCCTAATGAGACAAGGGGAAGCAAAACCAGACACATTAACATCAGACATGGACTTTCAAAGTAAAACAGGAAACATAACACAGACTGAACTAAAGACACAGACTCACACTGTCACGGGTTGCTCTGAGGATCCACTCGCAGGACTCCGGAGTTGTGTTTTAACAGAGACAGTTTATTCACAAAATCTTCACCAAGTGTATTTACAGACAGTGCGAGGACAGTGCTATATACAAGATGTGAGAGGCAGGGTTCCAGGGCTCCAGGGAAAACAAGGGAATCACACACGCGCTCACGCCAACCTCTCTCCGCTAGTGACCAGTCACCCCTTACACGCTCCACACGGGGAAACACAGGGACGGGTCCGGGGAATCTAGAACAGAGAGACACACGTTAACTTTCTGAGACGGAAGTGTGGGAAACTAGGGCTCGACGTGTACTGACTAGAGTCTTCACAACAATCCAGCGTTGAACAGCTGATCTCCTCCTTCTAATATACCAGCTGGTCTGATGAGGCCCAGGTGTGCATGATCCAGGAAGGCGTGGACCGAGGGCGTGAACCCGCCATGAGTTCCGCCCCGGCAAAACAGGGGAGAGGGAGAGAGAGAGAGAGAGGAAAAAGAGAAGAGAAGGGGGGCTAGGAGTGGAGAGATGCTGATCAGCGCCTTGCCGATCCCGCAGGTCGTGACACACACGCAGGCACTGCAACACAGGGAACAGGGACGTGGGACCAGGGCAGACACAGACACTGACTGGACACGGGGATATAGCAGACAGGGGAGACAGCAACTAAGGATTACACAGAGACAAACCATAAGACATGACTCTAACGAAGAAACCAAAGAATAGAAATGATAAATAATACAATAAACTCAAAACCCTAGGTCAACGACCCAGGCATCCTAACAGTATCAGATCGAGAAATCACTCATCTTTGGAAAAGAGAGTTTATTACAGAGAAATGGCTCTTTCCAAAATAAAAGCTATACTATCCGCTTCTTCTGGGCTATATTCTCAGCAGCATATTAAACATATCAGGTCCCCATAAGGAGAATCCTGTGCTAACGGCTGTCTAAATGACTCGGGTAAAGTTTGTAGCATGCTGCTTGTTGTCTGCTTCCACTTGTCTTTGCACGAGGATGATGTCGGCATAAATGTGCAGTCATATTCGTTGTGTTCCCACTAGTGCTGTCAGCGTTAATCTTGTTAAAATGACGTTAACGCCACAACACGGCAAATCTTCGTTAACGAGCTACCGCGGATCGCCCCGTGCGTGGGGCTGGACGGCATTAACACGTTAATGAGCTAACTGCGCTAACACACTAGTTCCCACAAATTGAGCATTGCGTGGCACATCCAACATACTGTTTTACTTTTGTCCACTTACTTTGCGCTTACCATCAGGGTCATATTTCACATGAAGACCAAAATAGTTCCAAACGCCAGATCTGAATGAGGGTGGGGGAGGTTCAATTTGCCATGTTGCAACGAGCTTAGCTTCTGTCTTGCTAGCTTGCGCTGCGCTCAGTGGATCTGCGCTCGACAGTGCAGCCTAGGCGGAGTAGGCGAGCCCAGATCCACTAAGCGCTCAACACAGACAGCATCGTCAGAAGAAAAGTTGATAAAATAAATAAAAAATTTTGTATTGTTCGATACATATGCGTACCGAACCGAAAGCACTGAATCGAACGGTTCAATATTGATACGAGTATCGTTGCACCCCTAATTTTTATATATGTGTATCTCCTGTAACAAACACAAAAAGTTCAACACAACAACACAGTCCCAGTATCCATCAAGAAAAGCACACTGAGCACAATGAGGTCTAAATGTCTCATGTCATTGTTGAATTTTTTAGACCAAAGTAGCATCATATGGTTTCAGTTGCGTCCTTTATATAACATGAAACCCATGTTGCAAAGTTAAAAACAGTCAGTTATTGGCTGATCGTGACGGAGCTGTTCCGCCGCACTGCTTGAAGAAAATAAATGAATGAGGGGCGAGTTCCTTTTAATCAAGTACCTAATTAGATACAAAGTGTTAATTTTAAAAGGGTGCAAACTAACAAGCGACTCAGAAAGCACAACCAGAAAATATAAATGTAATTACAACCTCAAGTTCTTGATCAGCTGAAAAAACTTGCAGCTAATTGAATATCGAGTAATATCTAGAGGCCGAATGCACCGGTCCAAACTAAATCCGAATAAAACGGCGTAAACATGTTTTTCTAGCAGTAACAGCAAAGGTTGGTAACAGTTCACATAAAACGGTGGCCTTTGTACGAGCACGCAGAGTCAGGCTTGATAATGGGGTGCTAAAGTTTAAGGTGAGGTTAATGCCTCATAGCCCGAGAAAATGAAATCACATAACCGGCAGAGCCCGAAGGAATAGACACGTTAAACAGTTTTATTCATTGTAGGAGGAGAGAGGTTGGAATGTCACAGTGTGATAAGTGAAGATTAAAGTCTGATGAGACACACCGTCAGCTGTGCAAAAGCAAACCCAAGCTCATTGACAATAGCTTTTAAGGTCTGTTGTCATCTGTGACATTAAAGCTACTTCCCACAAAATCTAGCTGTATAAATAAAGTTTGCACCTGGCGTCACATTGAGGGCGATATAGAAACAATTCTTATCACGATAACGTTATTGTCATATCAGTCGAGAATGATATATGTCACGATAGAAATCAAAAGACTTTTTCTGTCAAGCTTAAAGGTTTTTTCACTCCTAAATGTGAACATGTCAGGTTAATTTTGGTCCAAATATTGCTTAAACCAAAATTGCTTGTCAAGTTGTACATGTACTTTAACAGTGTGCGGCTGTGTTTTAAATAAAGAATATTAAAATATAATAATAATAATAACAATAACAATAATAATAATAAACAACACGGTAATGTGTCATACGCCAAAATCTTAATTCACAACAGGCAAAAGCCTCAAGTGTTACATAAGAAAACAAGTGAACTGGAAAGCTACAGTTTCAAAGAAAAAACATGAGCTCCTAATATAAAAAATGAAAAGTCTAGTTTTTCGATAGAAACATACTTTTTTTAATTGTAGGGACAAAAAAAAGATTGAAACTGATATGGCTCTAACTCTGTTCCAACCACATGCCTGGTTCGGTGTGGCACTCGTCGGGGTTTCACGGTCTTGATCCAAACATGGATAGCATCAGCTCTGTCAGCCTTATATTAGCCATGTTTCATATTGCTATCAGGAAACGTTTTTGCATAATAATTATTTGTATCGTTTTATTGCCCAGCTGTAGTTTGAGGTATAAATACATACAAGTTTGTAACAAAGGAAAAAGTTTCAATTAATGTACCTTATATAACCGATATAGCTTCAGCAAGCACTTAACTTAATTGTAGCTTATACAAATTAGTGTAGTTTTGAAAAAGAATACTGTGTTGTCATAACTTATTTTGTAACAGTAATGGCTACAACCTCAGAAATGTGTTACTTTTTAATAAATTACACCCAACGCTGCATTTGTTTCTCACTCATTTCCTCACATGATCATATTTTAAAGCTCAGATGTTTCTTGAGGCAGTTGTGGTTTGATGTTAAAGCTTCAATTAAAAACTGGATGTCACGTTCAAATATGACTATTATTAGTTATTATTATTAAATACTAATTAAGATCTACTGTAGCTGGCTGATTTGATGGGTACCCAGAAAGGAGGTCAGTATACAGACATATGCATGCAATTAGAATTGTGCCTGTCTTTTTCTCTGTCTCTCTAATAGTCTGTCATATATCAAATCGCTTCGCTAAGATCGAGTCATCCTGACAGTGCCTGCCATGCAAACTTCATAGAGTAAGATAACTGTGGATAGGTACTTAGTCAAGCAATACTTTCACTGAAGGCTGCTCCTATTCACTGTCACGTCAGGGATTATACTGAAACCCTGATGGGTTTTTCAACACTAGCTGTATAAATAAAAAAATAACTAAAAATAAACACATATAATCGGTGTCTCTCTTTTATCTTTACCACCCTGTATCGCTGTAGTTGTTTTGTTGGCAGTGCGTTTAAGGGTAAAGTAAATATTTAAATATTGACTTCAATCTTTCTGCCTGGCCAACAGGAGGATCATTTGATAATTTGGATTTTTGTCATGCTTTAAGTGCATGCATTATTCATAGATCTATCATAAATAGTTTCCCCTCTGATAAGTGAAGGCACCCCACTGTAAATACAGCCACGGCACCTCTAATGCATTTCCAATGGTGCTGCTGTGGTTTGAAAGTGGCTGCCACTTCTGCTGAGGATACACTTTCTATTTTCTCTTCACTCAGAAGCGACTCAACAGCCTCCATCTTTTTTTACTCCCATTTCCCTCTTTAGCTCATCATATTTCAACAGCCACCGGAGGGGTGAGGGTACTGATTTTTACATCTGATAGCAAAGCCCTCATCGCTCATCCTCACTGCGTTCTCTGGCTCGCACTTCAGTGGGCTCCTAATTTAATTTTAGAGAAGAAGTAAGAGTGAGTGAGCATGATTGCTGACATATTGATACGGCTTCTCCTGGAAATCATAATGATAAAACTGCTTTTGCAGATTTGTTTTCCAGTTTTTAATGAGTGGGAATTTCAGTAAACACATGGTCATTTCATGCTTTCCTTTTTACCAGTCACCATTAACCCAGTGTGAAATCACTAAAATAAGAGCATTAGCATTTAACTCTTCACCAAAAACTACAGAGTCATTGTAACAGCTCATTTAGAATTTAGATTGTATTTATAGTCGGCAGTTCTTTAGTAGTTCTTTGACTCTTTGGGTAAGAACCTGTCATTCCAGTTTAAGATCGAGTACCAAAAGCCTCCAAGAGAGTTTCAGTTACTCTAAGGGAAAGGAAAAGCACCATTAACTCAGAGGGTTTTTTATTGTGGATGATGGCACTTTTAAAAAAGAGAAACACAGCCTGATTTGTGATAACTTCCTGTAGAACATCAAAGAATGATACATTTTCTATTTAAAATTAGGTTAAAGGTAACACAAGTAATCAGTCTTACCCAGCATTTAAATAAAAACAAGACCGGTTGGTTGCTTAATGACTTATTGTCAAAACACAAAACACATAAACTATATTAGAAGTAGGAGGCTCTCTTCCACAGCAGATGGCCCCGCCCCTCCCTGAGCTTGGATCTGCTGGAGGTTTCTTCCTGTTAAAAGGGAGTTTTTCCTTCCCACTGTCGCCAAAGTGCTTGTTCATAGGGGGTCATATGATTGTTGGGTTTTCTCTGTATGTATTACAATATAAAGCGCCCTGAGGCGACTTTTGTTGTGATTTGGTGCTGTGTAAATAAAACTGAATTGAATTGAGTTAGTCATAGCTTTTGATTTTCACTTTTTTTTAGTAGCAGTTTTTGAATTAACCCGTAAAAGTTGTGAGCTGCTCCAGGGTCCAAAGACCTCGTGATATGTGCCAGTTTCTTTGTGATAAAAAAGGAATTTTAAATTTGATCACATTCATTCTTGACTGTTGTTTTGAGCAGTGGATCACAGAGGAACTGACAAAACATAGTTTGTTCAGAAACATACTACTTTCTAAAATTCTGCATGGTGAATATATCTAAGTCTTGATTATTTCTATTGTTAAAACAGACTATTTAATCTGAAATATGGATAACACATGTCAAAAAAAATGTCAATGCAATCAGGCACCTTGCTGCTATAACAAATCTATACTATGAATAGCTTGAATAATTACCAATATTACCAAAGGTTAGACAAATACTTGTGTGTAGCTGCTGTTTCTGTTTCACAGCGACTCTGTACTTATGTTTTAACATCTACCTTTACTTCCATAGTTACCAATACAAGGATTCACACCCAAGAAAACACTGCAAATATAAAAATAAAGACAAAGTTGCAGTTCAAAGTGACAAATTTGAAACATTTATTCTGTATTCTGTTTGAATGCGTTCGTGCTCACAGCTTAAATAAGTGTACAGTTTTGTCTCCCATGCTGCAGTGTTAATACTGACTGGTTATCAGGACACTGCAGGCTTTGTGTGGGAGATGTGTTGTTACACACTGTTTGGTTAGTTTCAGGCACCAAAATCACTAGGTTAGGTTTAGGAAATGTCATGGTTTGGTTTCCAATAAGCCCACTCTGCATGTTGATAAATGACTGTGAAGGGTACCTAGTGCATTCAAACGTGCGTCAGTTGCTCCAGACCGAGCATCCATATGTGACCAGTTGGAAGTGAGGCAGGGCTCTCATGTCCGTGTGAGGACACTGTGGATAATCAGCACTGTTTGGTTAAAAGGGTTCATGAATAGTAAGCAGCTGGCTCAGAAGTTCACTAAACCCTTTTAAGACATTTGGTGCCAGACACCTGACAGACACTCCTGCTTCACCCACTGTAATTTTAAATAGTTTGTGATGTTAAATAAGTGAGACAAACGTGGATTAAAAAGGGCAAAAAATAGAAACTTAGAAAAAACTGTAGCTGCCAGTAATCACATAGCCATGATCTTGTTATAACCACAATTTGAATATTTTAAACTTAACTTATCACATAATAAGGGTTATCATGGTAACAATGTATATGGACATTTTTTAAACTCGCATTGACTGTCAGAATTCCAAATTCCCTGATTCTTGCTTTTTCCTGTTACCACTTTCCAACTTTCCACTTGCAGCCTGCCTTTATGCGTAACACACTGGTGCTCCACACTGAGTTTGCCTAGGAGAGTTCAGGCTCTGTTGAAGAACAAAGGCGGTCACACCAAGTCCTGACTTCCAAGCTTGCTAGAATTGTATATCCTTTATTTTTACCGTATATTCTGTTTTTATACTGTAAGTACGTTTTTAGAAGTTTCAATAAATTGCTCAAGACTTTTGCACAATATTGTAAATTATATCACCTCTGTTTATACTTACTTTTAATGGTTTTAGTGACTGGCTTGCTGATACATTACGTTGCCTGTGCTAATGTCTGCACCATCCCGACACTGACCTTTAAGTATTTTAGTATTTTGTATAAAAATGCTAATGTTTAGCAACTAATGATTATCCCAGTGCCTGACAAAGTAGCAAAAGACCAAAATTAAAACAAACTCAAGGTCGAATACAAATACTTACATTATAATAAACTGAAAAAACTACCCAGTATATATGTTATGTCCTCTGAGAATATGCAGGATTTTCATTAAGGAAGCTTATCAAGATGACTATTAAGGATTGAGCAGAAGATGTGCTGTAGCGTAGCAAATATGACATCCCTGTTTCTTTGTTCTTTTGTAACATCTACGTATTTTTTCCAGCCTTCAGCTCCGCAATTCATTCTCTGGATGGAGCCACACAGCGGAGCGACTTTGTCTCCATCCTCAGGGAGTTTGGGAACCACTACGTGCAGGAGGCAGTGTATGGCTTCCAGGAGTCCTGTACCATCTGGTACCCCAACAAACAGGTACAGAGGCAGCTGTGGTTGGAGTACCAGGACATAAGCAAAGGTATGGATACACACTCACACACTGTTGTTGTCATATCAAATGATAGTTTTAAATAAAGACAAAAACGCTGGAACACTGGTAAATTTCTGAATTGTCACTTTCACAAAATACATCGAAACGTGTGTATGTGTGTGTGCATATGTGGGTGCCTGTGGGGGGTGGACAGGATGATTATGTTACAAATTTAGAAGTGTAGAACCCTTGATCTTCTTTCAGCTGCACATTAAATGCTTGCCAGGAGAAACACTTGAGCCTCACATGGGACCTCTTCTAACAAAGCCTCAGCTTCTTTGTTGGTCGTAACTGGTTGTAGAGAACTGTAAGTCTTCCAGGAAGGCAGTCTTTTTTTATCCTTCTTCATCTTCTCACACCGTTTTATGGAAATGCCCCTTCAGTATTGTTTAGGTTTGTCTTTAACAGGATTTGAATTGCCACACTTTTCCCTATAAACCATGCAAACACAGAAATAAGAGCATGGCATTAGGACTTGGCTACAATCTTTGATATTTTTGTTCAACAAACATATTGAGAGCAGGCTGAGGCAACATGATAAATACAGGCATAAAAACAAAGAAACCTGGCACATGGTTAGGAGCAGGCAGTGCAGGATCATTAGCTGAGTACAATCAGGAAGGGTTGGAACATTTCAGGAGACAGGACTAAGGGGAAAAAGTGTGTTGGAAAGTGGACGTGACAAGTTCTGAAACAGAGCGAATGCATGGAAACTGAATGCTGAATGAATTACTGACTGGGGCAAAACAACTGTTAGAAACCAACAGCCAGTTTTAGACTCTACTGATAGACTGTAGCTTCATTTTTAGTATTTTTCACACTTTTTTAAACAACACAACATGCACATCTATTCAGATCAATTCACTTTTATTTATACAGCGGCAACTCACAACAACAGTCGCCTCAAGGTGCTTTATACTGTCAGGTCGACCCTACAATAACACATGCAGAGAAAAAGCCAACAATCATATGACCCCCTATGAGCAGCACTTTGGCAACAGTGGGAAGGAAAAACTCCCTTTTAACAGGAAGAAACCTCCGGCAGAACCAG